TGATTCTTCCACCTCTGCTCTAGACACACTGTTCGAGAGAATACACAAGGCTATTGATACTCAAAGGAACGGCATCAAGAACTCTCTCGAGGACTCTAGACGGCGACATGGCATGATGTATTGTCATTTCATATTTAAGATTCTCCATGGTCATGTGTCACACTACTGCTTGGGGTTGATTCTAAGCGAGTACAACAGGATGAAGGAGTTGGGTGATGAAGTGGCTTTTTGGTCAGACATAAAATTCAATATCGATGTATTATATAAAAAAAACAAAAATGTTCTATAAAAAAATTGCCCACATATCAGTAATCCCTCTGTGACGCCCACTGCCACTGCTGAAGGGCCCGTTCTAGATCATCAATAACAGCTCTGCCTGATGCAGTCGTCATGTTGTCCCTCTCCTGAAAGAGTCTTTGTCCCAGCTGCATCATCTTTCCTATCCACTACACACAACGTCAGACATAAAATTCAATATCGATGTATTATAAAAAAAACAAAAAACACAACAATAAATGTTTTATGAGACATACCGCATCTATAGCAGTGAGCAGTGGCACATCATCATCATCGGCGTCTCGCCATGGTAGAGGTCTCTGATCAACCTCGGGTGCGAATACCGGTTGCACCATTCCATGTAATACTGGTCACACATGCCAGTCACCCTAGTTGGCGGCCGCTGCAGCTCCGCAGTCCATAGACGGGCAACCATCGGAAACTGCTCCCACATGGAAATCATACTTTCCGACCATTGGACGACGTACTCCTTCGACGACGCAGATCGGACCGCCTTACTGGCCCATGCTGGTGGAGGAGGGACAACTTGGACAAATCCAAGCTGACGAATACAGCGTTGGGGCATGTACGCCTCCACGATCTCCCGTTACTGAATCAGTCCCGCGTAGAGGGTCCTGGGTACCCTAATACTAGGGTTCTGGCCGAAAGGCATCCAGTTCACTTGCACATTTTTTCAAATTAGTAAGATTCATATAATAAATGCATCAAAATTTAAAATTAGAAATAATTTATACACTTTACCTCTAAGGGGGACATCCTTTCAAGCAATAACCGTATCGATCGGAGGCGATCAACGCACTTCTTCTCGAACCGCGGCCTCCACGCACAAGCACGTGCCATCCCATCCCCAATAGGAACCGGGTCGCGGTGTGGTCGAAACGCAGGAAAATACTCGTATATTCAGGTCTGTAATAATGTCAGACATCCAATGAAACCTGCCGCGTCATCCTGACTCGAGAATCCGGCTCACACGCGTCATCCCGACTCGAGAACCCGGCTCACACGCGTCATCCCGATTCGTATCACTGAACGGAAGGTGGAAAGAGTTTGTATCCAACTGCCATCGCTCAAAGAAAGTCGTGATCAGCGTTGAGTCAATCCTATCGTGCATGGTGGCAGTAAGGTGACTCACTCTAGTGCCCCTCAATCGGCTGAGCATATCGCTCTCCTCCGGCCAAGCCTCAGCCCAACTACACAGAAAGTTACAAGTTTTTTCCCGCGTTTGGCATTTCAAAATGCCCGTATCCAAAGCCCTCTCCTGGTCCTCCCAGATACGGGTAGCTATGTGTCCTAGAAAGCTAGGAATCACACTCCCGTCTACAGGTCCCCCATCCACCTCACCCCTCACCACCCAAGAATCATTAACGGCCCTCGACCGTTTTTTGCTTACCGCAGACACAGTGGACGCAGATGATATGCCACATCTACTAACAAATCTACCATCTCTACCCTTACGCACATCTACCCTATGCATCTCATACATATCATCAAGCCTCTGACTGAATGGACTGTAATCATCATATGGTCCACTCTGATCGTCCATCCCACGCACCACATCCTCATCTGCCTCCTCCTCCTCTTCCTCTTCCTCATCACCATCATCATCTTCATCCTCCTCAGGATGGTGAACCCGGTCTCTGCGAGCCGAGGCCGAAATACCACGAGATCTAACGTGTCTGGGCCCCGAGCTCTCCATGGAGTAGATTCTACTTCTAATAACATCCATACTCTTCCCTGTACTAGGTCGAAAATGCGATACTTAACTCCATTTAAATAACGAAAAATAATAGCAATTGTTATTATTATTTATATTAATAATCTATTTTTTTAAGTATCAACAACAAAAATTAGAAATCCTAACCAAAAAAAATATCAAATAAACAAAAAAATACTAATAAATTGACATAAAAAAAATACACAACACTAAAAAAAAAGATAAACCGAAAAAAACAAAACAAAAACAAAAAAAATTACAAAAATTCTAAAATTTTTTTTTTAAAAAAAAAAACCGGATACGGCGGCGGTGCCTGGAGAGGACGCCATGCCCACGGTGGCGGCGCCCTAGCCAGAAGCATGTCCCACGGCGTCGGCGCCTGGGCAGGACGCCTTGGCCACGGTGGCGGCGCCCACGCAAGACGCCACCACCGTGGATCTGGCGTCTCGCCCAGCCGCCGCTGCCGTGGGCCAGGTGTCTGGCTAGGGTGCTGCCACCGTGTCCTCTCCAGGCGCCGCCGCCGCATCTGGTTTTTTTTTTTTTTTTTTAAACAAGTACCTTCCCACCGCGTGACCGCCCTCCCTCCGCCTCTGGCGCCGCCATTTCCTTGCCTTTCCGCCTCGACATTGTAGTTTGAGTTTTTTTTTTAGAGAGAGAAAATGAGAGTAGAGAGTAGAGGGAAGATGAGAGTGTGTTTTTTAGTTTGTGGGCAAAAGTGTCAATTCACTTATAATTTGTGGGCTTTATGTAGAGATTTGCGGGCGATGTTTAGCAATTCACTATTTGGAAAGGGGGCTGTAGCCTGTAGGTGTTCTACACTTGGGTGTAGGTTTTAACAATTACTATTGAATAAGTTATGGCTCATTTGGTACTTTTGAAAGGATAAAGATTAGCAACACATGACGCCGTAACACTTCTTTGTAATTAGTTTTATCAGGAAAACTAGTCATTAAATATTGAACCCTAAACTAAAAAGTTGATTAATTAAAATTATAAATAAAAAAAAATAATAAGTTCAGTTAAAGCATCTAAATTTACTGCATAATTTGACATAATGAAATTTATACAACCCTAATTCCTCTAATCTGATGAAAAAAGAACTAGCCTTTACTATACGTTATCCTTTCAGGTATAAAGTTACGTACTTGAAACGTTGGACTTAATTTCATTTGTCTAATCTTACTGTTATCTATACGCGTGCTATCATAAAATGTTGGTCATTTTTGTAATCTTGATCTCCTACTTTCTACTGAAGTTGATCTTCACAGTTCATAGTAGTTTGTGCACTCGTACTCCAACAAGGGTCGTGTCCACTTCATGCCGAGTTGATAGCTTAACTATGCCCATTATTCGGTGGAAAAATGATGTAATTCAGTAATTGTAATGTTTGAAAAAGTTCATACTTCGTATTTCATTCATCTTCTAAGGATTTTCCAACATAATCACTATCATACGATTATTGGCGCGGTCTTCGTATTTCATAAAACTTCTGAGGGATTTCCAACATAATCACTATTACACTTCGTATTTCATTCATCTTCTAAGGGTTTTTCAACATAATCATTATCATACGATTATTAGCACAATCTTCAACTACAATTAGTAAGCACATTGCCTGGTGATTTCGTGGAAATTCTAACGAAAGCATGTGCTTCAACATGAGAGGATCAAAGAGAAGTATACTTGAGGTGGCTAATGGACCAGATCAAAGACTGGAACATCATCCAAGTCTCCAACAATTGATCAAACACAAATCAGCAAGGTTAACGCACTTAGCTATGCTTTTTAAGTGAGACAGCCCTGCTCCATACATCAGTCTAGCCCTGGTTTTTAACATGGTTGTGGAGTATTTATTCATGTGCCTTCACTTGAATAGAGGCAGATTATACAATGTTTACATTTGGTTACTTCCCCCCCCCCCCCCAGCCTTAGGCCGAATCCCCTCTCCCCCAGTCATCGGTTCCCAATTTCAGCCTTAGGTCAGAAACAAACTAGCTTGCTGGGAGGGGAGTAGGGAACCTACTCTCCCAAAAGTACCCCAGCATATCACGCGCGCGTGCACACACACAACCACACGCACACGCACACACATACACTCACCCTTAATCTCTTTCCCTCACCCCCCCCAAAAAAAGGCTACATAAAAATTGAGATCACTCAAAGACCTTAGCAGCAACTAAGCCTCCCTCAAAAACAATCCTAGACTGGCTTTATACAAAGACAATAGCCAACCAACCACCTAACCTTACATAGGAAAGCAAATGATTAAACGCATAGTGTGTCTTAGCTAACTCGATTGTGGTAAGCAAAGTGACCACAGCACCCCTCAATATTGTAGCACTTCAAGTATGGGTTTGTGACTAGCTAAACTTAAAACAAAAACCAATTCACACCGATTTATAGTAACACTGTAACACACTAAAACATATACTCAGAAAAAACTAACAAGTCTCCTTGATTTAATACTAATGTGAAACCGTCTCGTATCTAATTAAGCTCTGAGTAGGACGCTTTTGGTGGGTGTTCGCTTTTCCCCAATCCCTCCAAATAGCTTTAACCCTCGCTCCCTCCCTCCCTCCCTCCCTCCAAGTGCCTAGGCTCTCTAACTACTAGAGTGGCTGGAGATAAAACCCAAAACCCAACCATCCCACTTCACACAATAAAACAAAAGAGTAAACTCATAGTGCTTAAGAAAGCGACTCGGGGGTATCACCTAGTATGTACACCTACCTAGACTCCTTTCAAGAGAGGTTGGTAAGATAAATCAACAGCTACTTTGGCAGCAAAATATGACGACAAATGAAATACCCACCTAAGCTGCAAAGTAAGCAAAGGGGTTTCCCCAAACAAAAAAAGAAAGGAAAAAAAACTGATTCTACAGGCATATAATTATTCAGGGGATGGGGCTAAAAAGAGATCAAATTTGTCAGCTGACTTTATAAAACATAAGGCCAACCACCCTCCTAAATAAAGATCAAAACATAAAACATAATTAAATGATATGAATTGAACTATACAATAAAAGAAGCTATTCTGGACAACTAAACATTATCCTTTCTAAAATCTGCATTCTTTCCTGATAAGAAAAATACATAAAATATTACAAAAGATATATGTACTCATCCATTCCTTTATCAAGGTCCCACCACCCACTAAGAAAGAGGAAAAAAAAATTGACAACCCTCCACTAACATAATATTACATAAAGTGCTTTTGTCATCCACCACTAACTCTTCATCCCCACCATATTAGAATTCAAAATTCAGAAACTCAAGTTAAGCTTTGACAATTTTCCCCCATTTCTTGCCTTTACTTGAACTCAACAAAGACTAATGTTAGAGGTGTGCTTCCAATTTTTTAGCCATGATATTAGTCCCTATTTGTTGACAAAACTAATAAAAAAGTTGGGCACTATGGCATCTGACTTTGATATCAAATTCAAAGATGAGATGATTGAACTGATTTCTTTGGAGAGGTTGGATTTCGACAGCTATATAGAGTGGGACCCATGATCAGATTAGCGAGTTAAGATGAAGGAAACTGAGGAAAATCACCTTCTGATATGGAGATTTATGAAGGTGGGTTTGACTCGGGCTTCACAAGTGACCCTGCATCTGGCGGCTGTGTGTGGTAGATTGCGGATGCGAGTGAGATAGGCATGATGCAAAGTGCCTTGGATTGAAGGAATTGCATTGCGGCCCCAACATTTTCTTCCATGAGCTTTGCAACTTGTCTTTCAGTTCCGTCATTCGACCATTTTTCCCACACGGGTTGACCTCGCCCACCTTCCCCACCTTCTTCCTGTTGGGAAAGGAAAGCGTACAAGAAAACGACGTCAATGGAATGTCTGAAATTATATCATGTGATCTGAGATGAGAAATGTCAAACTATTGCCTTTTCTTTTTCTCGTACCAGAAATGATATAATACAACAGTTCTTTTAGGTTTTTTTTTTTTTTTTTTTTTTTTTTTTTTTAATACCTCAACAGATGATATTGGCATGTCTGTAACGAGTGGCACCACTGCACCAGCTCCACCCAATCTACTCATGCTCAAAACCTGACAATCAATGGTTAATTATCAGCATTCATAATAACTTTAATTTAAAACTACTACGCTAATATAATTGAGGGCAAGCTTCTCCTTGAAGTAAAGAGGGAAACAATCAATTTAAAAATAGCAGACAAGTTAAAATATAATAACAACAATCTAATAATAATGATTTAATTATAGTGTCTGGGACTCTGGGTTATAGATACTTATATTAAATTGAGAGCCTAAATATAGGGAGTCATGATTGAGGGTCTAATGTAAGAAATGTAGATAACTGTATCATGAAGTCATGATATAAAATGATGAAAGACCGTACTAGGATCATAGGGCATTATTTGCTTAATAATTTGGGCTATTAGTATGGGTCCATGTGTCAATCGAATAAGCATAATGAATGGAGCAACTCACTGGATGCTAACTACTGGGGAAAAGAGACCAATATATAAATTTTGGATTAAAATTTAGATGCTAGGATTGCTAGCATTATGCTAAGTAGCTGAAAATTTTTGAGTTATCTTCCACCAGGAAACAGCTGCTTCCATCATGAGACAAAGAATGGGCAAAAAAAATCCCAACTCAAACATAAGGTTACCTTGACTTGCAACCTCAAGAATTTCACATAATCCACGATTTCATCAAGCATAGCAGCTCTGTCTGTCTGCAAAAACAAATATAACGATGCAAGGATTACAACTTGACATAAATGAACTCTTTTCAACAGTAAAAATGCAACTACATAGGTAGGTCAATGAATTAGTAATGCTTGCAGACAGGGTATTTTGCAATGAAATGCAATATAGTGTAATATGCTGCCATTCGAAATGAAATATGGTGGAAACTCTGTGTGATGGAACTACATTAGATAAAACCCTTAATTTGAACCAATGTGAGGCCTATGAACATAATGAAGGATGAAACTAGACTGGGAATATGGGTATTTTGAGAAAATTTGGGTATAATCATTTGCAAAGGGCACAATTGCACCTAAACCCTTCTGTATTGTGATAATGTCCATGAGGCCAAAAAAATTAACCTTGAGGCCTCAAAAGTGGTGTCATAGTAACAGAACTCAATTCCAATCTATAACAACACCAGATGCTAATCACACGAGAAGGTGTATTGTATCAAAGATTTGTGATCCCAAGATTGTGTTACATGTTTAATCAAATTCAACCAAACACTATCTGCCATGTCTAAAATAAAAGCTAAGGCATAATTTATTCGCATGTGACAAGGGGAAGACAGTTTAGCACCAAACAACCCGTGTTATTCTGGGAAAAAAAAAAAGCAAACCGACCTTGTTGACACTTGGAACAAGCTCTTGCAATGCCCTAATTCTTTCAGCAATTCTCTCTCTACGCAACTGTTCAGAAAGAAAATGAGAGTATGTCAGGCATACTTTTCATCTAAAGTGGTTCAAACATACAACACTTGATAATATCCATGAATGATTTCTCTTATCCAAGACATAATTTGAGCCAGAAGCAAGATGAGCATTATATTCACAAAGCCCGTATATAACCAATTCGCTAGAAACATAAACCGACATATGGAAGTCTAAGCAGATTCACATGAAATTCAAAGACACATCCTCTTCTCTCCTATTGATGATGGAAGGAAGAGTTGCATTTAGACTCTCAAGTACATCAAAAACTATGCCAATGAGATTAATTTGACAGATAGTCATGCTCATAACCAATACTTCTTCTCTAACACCAAATTAACTGAAATCTTACCCTCTCAGCAATACTATGTGGATCAGTAGCCTGCCCTCGTCTAGCTCGTACTCTCGGACGAACAGCAGGTTGATGCGGCGCCACGGGAACAGGATTCGACATCGGCTGGCCATGGTATACCTAAAAAAAGTTCCACACCCATCCTCAACAACTCAACATAAAGATAGCAACTTTAATTAAACAATGTAAAGCTTCAACCTTTTCTCACACCCTTCATTTAACTCAGCAACAATCATATGTTGTAACTTTACCCAATATCATATTCATAATTAATTCTTATCCATTATTTCCTACAACCCATTTAATTAACACCCTTCTTCCCCAAAATTCAACCTCCATACTCCTAATCCAAAATCTAAAACATACATACATACCATATGCTAAATTTCTAATATATCAAAATTGTTACACAATTATACATTTTCAAACATATATTATTCCAAAATTCAGCAAAAACATGGAATAAAAAGAACAAGAAAATATATTTTTAAAAATAAAATTAAAAACTTACATTCTTATGAGCAGAATTAGCAGAAGCATCAACAAGATGATGTTGAGGGTCATCACGAAAACGCTTATTAGCACTACTAGAACCCTCGTCATGTTTCATAAACCCAGAATTGGGCTTACCAGCCTGGTCCAAGCTCAAGCCCAACGGAAAAACGGGCGGCCCATGAAACCCACCTGGGCCGGAGCTTAATTGGAGCATCATCGGAGCTCCGGGGCCCAAATTCACATCAGTTCCCGCCAAATTAGGGTCACCGGCGGCAGCGGCGGCGGCAGCTGCGGCGGCGTAAGTTTGCATCTCAAGAAGCTGTTCGAGGAAATCTTGGTTAGGAGTATCTGGATTGTTCGCCATTGAAGAAGAAGAAGAAGAAGAAAGCAAAAATTTTTGAAGAAGAAGAAAGAATGAAGGGATAGAGTGTTTGGGTTCTTTTTGTTAAGTAGTTGTAAGAGAGAGAGAGAACGAAGAGAGAGAAGAAATAAAGAAAAGAAATGATGAATTTTTAGGTGTTTGGTAGACTTTTTTTTTTGTTTTTGTTTTTTTTTTTTTTTTTTTTAATTTCAAATATGGTTATTAAAAAAAAAAAGTGGGTTTTCTTTAAATAATTTTATATTTGGGCAGCTGTAAAGAAATAAAAATGGGGGGAGAAATAATTATGATAATTGTATAAATATATAATAACGTGTTGTTTTGGAGTTGTTTAGGATTATCTAACTTTGTTTAGGTCTTAATAATGGGATGGATGATAGACTTAGGAACACTAATTGAATTATGCCATGTCATATTTTGTAGGGTTGTATGAATTAATTAAACCTTTGAGGATGAATCTAGTCGGTTGACAGAGCTAAAAAATATTGTACTCTATTTGTCTTTAAAAGTTATTCTTATTTGAACGGTGATTGTCTAACAAAATAGGATAAATTTGTAGAAACGGATTAGATGAAGAGTATTTTATGTACTACCTAATACTTCATAGTTTTCAAATATGAAGCTGAACTTCGTTTATATTGAGTATCTATGGAATTATTTTTGTGAAAGGGTAAGCTGATGTTAGAGAGTTTTAATTTCTTGGACTTGGTTCAATGAATCAAATTATAAGGGAATTGTAATTGTAGGTAAGAGACAAACATATCCAAACAACATATGAGTGGTTGTTTGAAATTTAGAATGTGAGTTTTTAGGTAGCTTGCAAAGTTTTGTTATAGGGTTGTCTAGAATTCTATTCACTTATTATTTTTTTTTTATTACTCCGTAATATTCATAATTTTGTCATTACAGAAATGATAAGTAAATAGCAACCTTAGGATTAACAATCAGCAAAATGGTCGAGTCAATCCATTTAACTATAATTTTATTTTGAAATAATTAAAGTAAACAACACATGTTGCAAAATACCATAGTAAAAAAGTGCTTGTTATCATCAAGGTGAGTTTGAAGTTGCCACAATTCCACAACAAGTATAATCGACATTCACCGAAGAGATGCAGATATTGACACGAGTGGGTGCTTGATAATTGATATCATTAAGGCGAGTTTGAAGATGTTATAGATATAAGCCAACTGGATGCTATAGATATTGATGACATAATAAGGATTGTGAAATAGCTCATGTAAGTTTGAGTAAGAGTAGCTAGTGCAACGCACCATCTTGTGAATGATCAAATTACTTGTTGAATACTTGTCTCTATACGAGAGATTGACCAATAACTAAACCGTTTAATTTGAATTAAGAGTATAGTAGCCTTGAGGAGAACGAAAATGCCAATCAACTTTACCAAATGTAAGGCATCACAAAGAATTTAAGGTACAATTAATTCACTTCATGCTTTTACTTCCCGCAAACATCTAAAGTAACTTTCAATAATAATAATAGAAGGCAATAAACCATAATTTAGAACCATATTTAGACACTATTTCGATCAAACGATTGAGGAAGATTACTCTCCTTTTTCTCAACTCAATTAGAACCATAGATCCAATGTCATAATCAAAGTAAACTCAAGCTCGTTGCCTTTATGAGTTTGACTTCCCCAACTTTAAAAAAAAAATACATAATGTCAATCACTTGTCAAATGGGAGTTAGGTTCCAAGTCCTAAAATAACCAAAATCCTAACTTTCAAAGAAGTCATCTCCCGAGGGAGTTGATCACCTTAATAATTTAATATAATTATTAAAATAAGTACAATATCACCTACTAGTATTAGTGGAGCAAGCCGTTTTATTTAAAGAGAGTTCACTTTTTTTTTTTTAAAAAAAAAAGAAAAATAATAATATTTCTAAAAATGTAATAAAATAAAATACTTGTATATAAAAAGGCAATTACGCGTGCGGCAAATGGGCAAAAAAGAAGTTGACAAAAATGTGTCACGGGGTAAATATCTATCAGATGATTGTCAAAAGTGTCATCATTTCGCTATATTCATATTTTCTACGGCTCCATCTCTGTTTTTTGGAGATAGATTCATTCCATGTGTTTTTCAATCTAAAAAGGCAAATATAGACGTAGTATATACGAAGTGCTCGTATATACTTCGTATATATAAGTTGATGTTAGATGTCGTAAAACAAGATGTTCTTGCAACAACTGACCTCCATACATAAACTCTAAAATTTCTTTAGCTCAATAGAATCCGTTACATAATGATTTGAGAATATACAGTTTATCGCAATAAAGTTATAGCGCAACCCCTTGTTAATGTAGTACAGAGTAATATGTTACCTCGACTTTGCTGCAAGTTATTGTGAGTCGTTTCATACAAGATTTGCTGCTTTCTTTTGATATATTATGTAGCAACACTGATAGCATACATTGTAATAATTGGACAAATGCCAGCAACATATGTAGCTCTCACCTAAGTCAAGACTCGAGTCATTCTCCCTTGCCAAAATATACTGAAGATTTCAACAGATTGCGGGAAGTCCTGCAAGGATCATCAATCAAGGTTGCGTTGCATGTACTAGACTTTTAACTTCAGCTCTAGCCAATCTTGAAATTTTTTTGGGTATATATATAGTAAGATGAAATTCCCACAGCAAAAATTGCATGCGCATACAGGAATCACAGGTAATTGCTGCGATATATTACCCAAAAAATTAATATACTTCTGGATCAACTCTGGCAACTAATGGCTCTCTTGACCAAGATTTGGAGGCATAACTGCAAGTAAACCCAAAGAGCTGAAAAAGAACTTACAAATGTAAGAAATCATCCGACGACCTTGTTAGTACATTAAATGTTTATAGTTCAAGACTTCAAGTATGACCTATCAGCTCTCAAGTCAATATAATGTTCTCAGGGTAAATATGCCAACGATTTTATGCATTAGAGTTTTCTTTCTCAAAACTTCAGCAAGAGTGCAAGTCACTATTTTTACCAAGACTAGACACAATTTAGTTACAAAAAAGATTTTAAGGAGTCACAGGTTCTCCCATTCATTCTTTCAACTTTCCTTCATGAATTTCTCTCATTCACGCCACCCTACCTCAAAAAGGATAAAAGACGTTTGTTCATACTGTTCATCCCATATACGATACAAATACAATGATATGACACCCTCAAAAATGGAAAAACAGTTTAAGTTTTGTTTAAATTGAACAGCTGCGGGGCAAGAATTGGTGAATATATGGGGCTGGGAGCCTGAGAGTTAGGAGAAAGACAATAAATATAAGGATAGGCAACGCAAGGATTCACATTTTGCCTCTCTGAAGTTTGAAAGAGCAGAATAACCAATTAAAGCAAAAATGATAAAAGGGCAAGAAAACTAGATTGATAGCGTATTTGGATATAGGGATTTGGAGGGAAGGGAAGGGGAGTGAGAGCCAGAGCGAGGGATCTAATTTTACTTATTTGGATAAGAAATGGAGATTGGAGAGAGAGAGAAGAGAAAAGAATTGAAGAAAACAAATTTTCTTTCCCTTTCAATAAACCAAATCCGTCCATAGTTGAGAAAATTCGAAGAAATAAACTCACTCCTTCCCTTCCTTCACCTCTATTCTCTGTCCCTTGCCTTTTCCACATTTATGAACCTTCCCTTTCCCACCATCACTACTAACACACATTATAAGAGTGATTGGCCCATATAATCTGGATATAGTATTAAAAACAATTCTTGTCTAGTGCCTAACACCTAGAAAAGAGAAATGATCCTTTCTCCAGCTAAGCAGCACTAAGCTTCTGCTATGATATTAATGGAAGATTGTTAGGAGAGAAGAAGGAATTTCGATAAATAAACTCGAATTGCAGCAAAATGAAGGATATTCAAACTTTTAATAGGCTTGATTCTCTTCCAATCAGCAATGCTAAACAAAGCACTCATCAATATTCAACATAACCCCTCCTATCTCTAATTTGCACTAATAGAAATTTCCAGTAACTGGGCTTATTATCCAAGCCACTAAATCATAATACAACGGCCTACATTGCCCCTTCCCCCCCCCCCCCCCCCCCCCCCCCCCCAAAATATCGATTCATAGCTGCTTCTACATCAGCTACATTACATAGAACAAAAAGCACCCAAGTCTTCCCCATCTTTACCCCACTCCCTTTTAAGATGAATGAAATGTTATGAATCAATGAACCCATATACAACCCACATAAATTAATCAAGGAAAGAGGGAACTTATCCAGGAATGAAAACCTCCAGAATTTCAACACATTTAATCCAAGCTATCCAACATAAGCCTAATTTCTGCACCAATCTTGCCCCTCAATATTACAAGCTATGTCATTCTCCACACTCTTTCAGCAACTATAAGATTCAAAGAGAATTAGCACAAGTCTGAAGAAAAATTGGTGATGATAGTCAAGTCAATTGATTGAAATTTGAATAGGCTCTGAAACAAGTATACACCAGTGAAAAATCAGTTCATTCAATTCTATCTAATGGAAACTATTTGAAAAGCTGAATTTGTTCAGCAATTACCTCTTTCGGTCTTTTCTAGAGGTACTAGGCAAAGATCGCAATAGTAGTCATTTAAAAGTTTTAAACTATGTTTGATCTGCAAAGGTCCATGTAGTCATGTAGACTAGATAAATAATCCTTTAAGTTGGTGTATCACTTGTTACTCCAAGACAATCCTACAAGCAACAAGTTCAAAGACAATCCTACAGTCACAGTTGCTGAAAACAGTCAACAGAATATGTAGTATTCGAAACTTTTGTTCAAATTTTCGGAGCTGAATATTGCTGCACCAAGGTAAAATGTGTGGAATTAGCAATTAGTAAAGTATGACAACATGTTTGCTAGAAATCTAACATAACTAGACTCCACGTATAGACAAGGGTGGAAGGGAACTTACTAACTTATTCAAATTTGATTTCATTCTGTGGCTGGGAGAAAAATTCTTTGGCATTGCGAGCAACTTCTGCCTCTAACATTGCTTCTAGAACAATATCAGAACCTGTTACTTCACCTAATCCATGACACAAAAGTCAGTCTCCGTTAATTCCAGTAAATCACTCAGCAGTTTAAGCAAACATTTACGAAAATAAGTTGATGACATCAAATCATACCTTGACGATTTGGCAGTAAACCTGCACTCTCAGCAGATACAGGAAGGACTGACAGAAGGCCAGGTCTGTCATCAACTGTGTCCATACTGACACTTCCTTCTATTGTCCCAGATTTTACTGCAGGGGTTTCTGCCAACTTAGCATAAGCTGTAGCTTGACTATACAAATTGGATGTTCCAGAAGCCACTGAGCCATGTTCCTGGAGAACAAAATCTCAATAAGTTTTCCATCTTACATGCATAAAGTTGCAAATAGTAATTTGTTCAGCTATGAACCTTAAACACACTAGTCTCTGTCTTAAAGCTATGCAGCTGTTGTTGGATTTGTTGAGGTTGGACCAGGTGTTCCCTAGGAGCAGTGCTCTCGTCACTGATATTTAGAGGCCCAGTATTGGCAGTTGCCCCTAGAAAGCAATACAGCAGCTCACATTGTATTCATGGTACAACTAATGAGACACCATTCATAATAACCACAATATCAATTAATACCTGTGTTCATATTATCTTGGTCAGGATTATCCATCAGCCTTCGCGTCAATGGACCAGGGTTCATGACGGAAATGCTGCTAATTTCATAGCGAATAGCTTCTAGCTGTGCCATAGTATCTTGCAATTCTTTATTTACCTGGAAAACAAGTTGAGCAAAACAGATTTGAGCACTTGATGTTAACAGGAGTAGCCATCATAACATTGACTCCCCAAGAGAACATCTGAACATCAACTATTTATACAAACATAGGAGCATTAATAGACCAAAGTACAAGAGACCAGCATTATTAGCAAAGTGCAACCTTAACTAACTCAAACACACACATCAAGCATATAAAGCTCAAAAAAAGCAAGCTTCCATTCGATCAATGCTTTTTACATCACACACTATAAGATAAGCAAATTAATAAGTTAACTCATAACAGGTAGATCAAACTCCAAGCAAAATCAACTCAAACCCTCAATACAATATAAACCAGTTTAAGCACATCCGGTCAGGTAATATCAAATATACATTTGGTAGATTGCGGTCAATTTCGAGATCACAATTCCTTTTTGGGTTGATTTTAGAATGTTGTTTCAAGTTTTGGGGCGAAAAATCAAAAACCCATGTTCTAGACCCTAACATTTATGGGGTTTTCAGGCCAAGTCAATTTTTGCCAGAAAATCCCACTTCTAATGAATCAAATTGACCTAAAAGAAATCACCCAATAAAGAAATCATCAATATTCTACCCAAATCACAACAAGAATTCCCCAATACAGATAAAATTAACTCAAACCCAGAAAATAAATTTCAAAACTTTCAACATTTCTACAACAATAAGAATCCATGAATCATATTAACAATAATATATTGTATATAAATTGAAAGAGACCTGACGAAATTGAGTTTGTTGCATGACATTTTCGAATTGACCACGAGCTAATTGAACATAACCAATAGCTCTGCCAGCTAATCGACCGGCAGTTCTTGCAATGAGCGGAAGATCCTTAGGCCCTGTTGATTGTAAAATCGAATAAAATTGCGCAAAATCAAAACTTTAATAATACAAATGATTGAAAATCTCAAAAATTGCATAAAAATCAGGGGATACAAACCGATAAGAGCAGCAGTTGCTCCAAGAATAACGAATATTTCACCATATGATAATCCCAGCATGATTTCTATATTGATTATTGGCGTCGCATGCAGCAGAGTTGTTGATGCAGCAGAGACTACGCCCCCTTACTCCCTTAGTCTGGGTGTTTGGATAGTCACGTGCTGGCTCGCCTGCTTACTACTCGGACCCGATGGAAAACCCGGAATTTAGCGTTCTTAATTTCTAGAGTTTATCTTATTTTTGTTTATCTGATCTACGTTAAATTTATTTTTTCTAATGTAATTCGACTGCGTGATTTGATCAAACTAACATGGAAATAATTATGAGTACGAAGTATCAAATGTGTAACTCACTGTGCCACTTTATTTAAATTAATGGTTTTTTGTATAGTAATATAAAACAATTTTTTACCCCAATTCTTACAAAGTATTGTTTATTTTTTTTCAATTTTCTTTACTCTTTATTTTATTTGATTAGGGGATGGCCCCTTTTGGGTCGAAACTTCTCAAAGGTTATTATCGTGCTAAAAATGAGTACAATGCTTCACTGCTTCACTTGTAAGTGGAATAATTTGAATAAACCTAACTTAAATCCGTTCCAATTGTCATCGATTCACTTTACTAGAATTTTATTAAAGTTATGTTCAATTCACCTAATCTGATAAGAATTCTGATTTTTGACTAAATTTTGACCTTATTTTTACCATGATCCATATGATAAACAACCATCAAACGACTAAATGAGATGCCATTAAATTCATTATAATTATACACTTTACAAATATTAATATTTCATAAGCTTCCATTATCACTAAATTAAAGATAGAAGTATTTCATAATAGGAAAAATGGAAATTAAAAATCCAACCTTTGCACTTTCTTCCCTTAAAAATCCAACCTTTTGTTTATCCAAGAATAATCCAACCTTCACCCCCTATCTTCATCTAACTCACTTTCCCTTCTCACTCCTAAAAAACAGAAACAACACAGCACGCCTCGCCACCAATTCCGCCACCACAAAACAACCCACCACAACAACACCCAAATTACATCAGCCTATACCGCCATCGTCATCAACCAGCCATCTATTTCCATCGCAGCCACATCAGCACCTCGCAGCCCCTGCTCGCCTCCCCACCTAGCCACCTCCTAACCGTCACCACCTCAACTGCCACCCTACCAAATAAAACCAAACCACCACCACCTCACCTTCACCCCAAGACGAAACTACCAAACCAAACCAAAATCACGTCCAACCACTTCCCCTGACTGCAGCCCCCACTCCCACCACGATTTCTATTCTCTTGGTGCGAGAATCAACACCCATAAACTTCATCTCGCCATTTTTGAAATCAAGCCACCTCTGTTGTTCTTTTGGCGAGAATCCACCCAAAAAAACCATCTTTTTTCGATTTTCGCCCAGAAATTTAAAGACCACAAACAAATTAGAAACCTATTCCTCCGTTTTTCGAACCAACCCAGAAAATTTGTTCAAACACTGCCCTCAAGGTCGCCACGGCCGTGTTCGGAGCTCCGCCACCGCTAATTTGTGCTCAATTTGGTGGTGGGTTTGCGGGTTTGTAGGTGGTAGGTTTTGTGTGATTTTGTGGGTTTTGTGGGGTTGTAGGTGGTGGGTTTTGTGGTGAGTACGGCGGCGGTGATGGTGGGTTGGGTTGCCGGGGAAGAAGAGGTGGGGATGGGGAGGGGAAGGGGGTGGGCCCGCTGTTCCGATCGGGATGGCGGGCACGGGCGAGGGTGGTCATTTGGCCGTAAAAGGGGGCTGGGTCTTTGATTTCCTTTTTTTTTTCTTTTAATTATTTTTTGTTTTTTTTAATTATAAAAAAATAATATATCTATCAAAAGTGGACACGTGACGTATAATTTATAAAAACCGGTCACCAACAGGTAATGGATCTTTAGATGAAGATAGGGGGCAAAGGTTGGATTTTTAAAGAAAGAAAGTGCAAAGCTTAGATTTTTAATTTCTATTTTTCCTTCATAATAAATAACCATTGATAAAAAGATAAAGATCTAATTTGATTATTTCCTAAAGTAACTAAATCGATCAAATAAGTTGAATCGAATCGAAGATAGCCTAATTCAAGTCCTTTTAATGAATTATTCCCCAAAAATGGTCCTTTTTAATGAAAATTAAATCAAATGATTTTATTTTTGTAATTAATTGGAGTAATTATACTTTGTTCCATAACATTTAAACTGAATATATAAGCCCCTTGTTCGAAGCAGCAAACCAGAAGTGAGAGAGTGAGCGTTTCCCTTAGATAAGAACTCATTCAAATGGCTATAGCTTTCAAAGCTACTTGTTTTCTGCAACACAAACGTTTCGAAACGCAACCCTTTCCTTCTCCTTCATCCTCTCTCAGATTTCGAAACGTTTCGTCAAAGAAAACTTTCGTAACAATGGCTTCCCATGCTACCTCCGCTGAACCAGTTGTCGGACTTTCAGAGACTTTCAATCGATTGAAGCAGCAAAACAAAGTAATCTTCTTTTTCTCTCCTTCGATTTTTGTCATCGTCTGATAAATCTGGAGATTAATCTCGTTGAATGATGGTTTCAACTATTGGGTTTATTGTTATTTGACTAATTTTGCATTTGGGTATTTTTAATTCAAGAAATTTGCTTCAAATTTCAACTAGATGTCTGAAAAAGTTTAAACCTTTATTTATTTTTGATGAATCGGAAAGTTTTTTGTTTCATGTTAATTAGTATTAATAGTATTAATTATTTGATTGCTTTGGGTGATTATATGAATTTATAAAATGTATGTGATTTACAATGCATGTGAGTAATATTCAGGGAGGCATGGAAGAGGAGAAATTGGAAGATATATATGGCCCTTTTCTTCCAAATGTCTTAGTTTTGAAGGGATTTTGATGGGGGTTCTAAACCTTATAATTTTCCTTTGATGTCATTATGTTTGCTGTTATTCATACGGTCTTATGCTGTCAAATTGGAGGAAACTATTAAAAGTCTTGTTGATTAGCTTCCCGTGTCGTATCTGCTTGTCAGTGTGTGTAAATGAATACTTGTATGTTTTGCTTGGATATTTGTGTACTGTGTTTGCGTTTTGCAATGCTGAGTATTTATTTGCAAACATGTGTGTCAAAGGTTTGTGTTCATGTCTTCATAATCTTCCTGGTGAAATGAATGAATAGATGAGTTTTCAATGCGATTGTTCTATGCGTCATACTTACCTCTTTTATTGGGGTGTGTTTTATTAATTTTTGAGTAGAAAAGATTGCTGGAAATGATGAATTACATCTTTTGTGTTCATCACAACTCTGATGGGCAATTTGTAATATTTGAAAATCATGCCATTTATTTACATTTATGTTCAGTACTATCTTGTCCAGTTATTGTGGCTTTCTAGTAAGTTCTGTGGGTATGTTTCTTTGTGTTGTCCTCTGCTGCATTAAACATTAGGATTTCATCCTCTCTTTTGTGCTTTAGGATGATATATTGCTGTTATGCTGATCTTTGTTGCATACTTCTGTTTGCTTGAAGCATCTCTCTAGAGGATTAGCTTCTGTGATTGCATTCTTGTTGTATGTTGACGGAGATGGAGGGGATTTGAATCATATGATTGAGTAAGAGTACTAAGGTTTTTTTTCCCTTGCTAATTCTGTTAAGTCCTAACTCTTGTTAAATATGTATGTATTACATAGGTGGCATTAATCCCTTACATCACAGCTGGTGATCCTGATTTGTCAACCACAGCAGAAGCTCTGAAAGTGCTCGACTCTTGTGGTTCAGATATTATAGAACTGGGTGTACCATATTCTGACCCTTTGGCAGATGGTCCTGTTATTCAGGTAATTTAGAATTTTGTTATTGTGAATTCTGTTGCCAATCATTTCAGAATTTAAATGTAGGTATGTCTTTGTAGGCTGCTGCTACGCGTGCCTTGTTAAAGGGAACCAATTATGATAACATTCTCTCCATGCTGAGGAATGTAAGATCCTGTTGTCTCATTTTTTTAATCTGAACAGTGTTTCACATTGGTAATTCTATTATTTCTAATCTTCTGCTCTCCCTAACCAGGTCATACCACAACTTTCTTGTCCAATTGCATTATTTACATATTACAATCCTATACTCCAACGTGGTGTTGAGAAGTTTATGTCTACCATTAGAGATGTTGGTGTCCATGGTATGGTTTTAATTTTGTTGTCATAACTTCCATGTTTTAGAACTACTGTCATTTCTTTAAAGCATACTGAACTACTGAAGCGAGTTGACAATTTCAACCACAACCAGTGTTGCCACAGATAGACTTACTTTTGTTTAGAGGAAAATTACATAAGAGGAACGGTTGTACTCCATATATAGAATCAACAAACTATTAACTGTAGAGGAGAAAATACATTAGATGCTGATTGTTAGTTGCACAGGAAATAAGTGTAAATTTATCCTTTATGAGGTTAATTTGTTTCTGCCAATCTCATGTGATATTCATCCATCTTGTTAATAAAAATTTGAGCCACTGAGCTTGTTTTCTTATTGTGTCCCATCTCTCAATCATGATGCTTTTTGTTTCCTCTAAAATTATGATGCTTTTCTTTCTAATATTATCCTCCTATTTCTTTTCTCGTCCAGAAGCTGTTAGGTCTTTAAGTTAACAGCTTTTTTAAAAGGATGAAGCAAGTTTGCAGCTGTTCTTTGCTGTCATAAGTATCAAGGAGTGTTGTAGGACTGGTTTCCTTCTTTGAGAAGAGAAATTATCAGTACTTGCATTCTTGCAAGCTGAGCTGCACAGTCTGCAGTTGAATAAGTAACAAATATTTTAGCAGAGTGATTGCTTGAGTAATTGCACTCTTTCGCTGATTTGTTGGGATAGGAGAAAACTGTGGCTTTACTTTCTGTAAGCTAACTAAAAGCATTTAGGCGAGCTTAAGCATGTGGAGCTTCCTTTGATACGATTGCCATTTGATGCAATTTGTTTCACCTATGCGGCTGCTTGCTACATAGACACACATAATATTTTATCCTATGCAAGTACTCTCTTCCCCTAGCTTATGCAGCTTCTTTTACTCTCTTACCCTGTTGAAATGGAAGGGAATTTTTTTTTTTTATCTTGATGGGGAAAGGTGGTGGTGTTGGGTTATGTGGTGGATATCACCAGATGCGGATATGCCTCATCAAATCATACTGTTATAATTGGGCCATTTTTACTTGTGTGTATGTGTACGATAATATTCTGTTAATGTCCATATCTATCCTTATAGGGTTGGTGGTACCAGATGTTCCCTTGGAGGAGACAGAAATCCTAAGAAGGGAAGCTCTGAAGCATGGAATTGAATTGGTTGGCTTCTTCGTTTGACCACTCCATATTTTGGAAATTGTTTTTTATACAGTTGCTAGTAAGTAACGTAAGTATTATCAAGAACAAAATTGCGAGCTTATGCTGTATCTAGAAAGCTAGCCAAAGCCAAAAAAGTATACTTCCTCATAATATTATGAAGAAAGCTTCTTATAACTCTACAGGAGAACTACATGAATACATGACAATTAAAACATGTGATTCGTTATAACCCGGATGGCCAGGTGTAATCTAGAGCTCTCAATAGATTATGTATAAACATAAAATTGTTTCTGATACTGAGCTTAAAAAGGCTATTGGTAGCGAGCCAGTAGGCAGATAATTACCTTGTTTAAGCAAACTAAGGAAAGCCATTAACTTTTTTGCTATGCTTCCAAATAAATAAGATTGTTAGGAAGAAATAGGTCAAGAATAATTGATATGTGTAGTAATGATAATTAAAGAAAAGTAAACAAAATTAGTTAAGAGTATTGTGATATTTGTAGCTGAATATTGCTATACATTTGATGGGACAATCATGAAAATAATAAGAGGCAAGTTACAATAAATTCCTTTTTTATTAATTGGTTTGTCTGGTTTTTTTCTCTTCCTTGTTTGATGGGTAAGGAGAAATATGATTGAAGTATTAATCAACAATGTTTACCTTCTGACCTATTCTGACTTCTTGTATTCGTGGTTAAGGTCTTGTTGACTACACCAACAACCCCTAAAGATAGAATGAAGGCTATTGTTGATGCTTCAGAAGGCTTTGTCTACCTTGTAAGATCTCTTCTTGATTATATGTATTACATCGTTTGTAATTAGAATTTAACAGTTGATGCGGGACGTGGTGCTTGCTTATGTCTTCTAGATAAATCTTGCTGTTTTGTGCTGAATAAGCTCTTCATGAGCAGGTGAGCCAAGTTGGAGTTACTGGAGCTCGAGCAGATGTTGGCGCGCGAGTTGAAGAGCTACTTGGTGAAATAAAAGAGGTGTGTACTGTGTTCATTTGTGAAGTACGCAATTTATTGCTCATGCAACTGCATCGTAATTTGTTTTTATTTGATTTTTTTTTATCTGGCACACTGGAGGTCCATTTCTGAATATTATTGTATCTGATTATCTACTACAGAGTACATATTTTAAATCAAATATGATAAAGTCACTACCTCCTTCCTTGTATTAAATTTTGCAAAATATTTGTTTATCTGACCCTTTCCCTCTTTGTACTTAGGCTACTAATAAGCCTGTGGCTGTCGGCTTTGGCATCTCGAAAC